GAAGCTCCAGAGGCCTGGAGTTGGAACTGGCATAGGAATAGGGAACAGAACAGGGGACTGAGTCCTCAGCCTGTGGGATCTGATGCCATCTCCAGGTAGATAGTGCCAGAGTTAAATTTTGGAGGGCACCCAGCTGGTGTCAGCTGCGGAACTGCTTATCTGGTGTGTGGGGGAAAGCCCCCACGCATTTGGTCACAGCCATCTTCTGTGTTGTTGTGGAGTGAGAGAATAGAAAAAGCATTTTGAAGGCTGGGCTCGGTGGCTCACGCCTGTAATCCCAGCACTTTGGGAGGCAAGGTGGGTGGATCACCTGAGGTCAGGAGTTCAAGACCAGCCTGGCCAACATGGTGAAATCCTGTCTCTACTAAAAATACAAAAATTAGACAGGCATGATGGCGGGTGCCTGTAATCCCAGCCACTCAGGAGGCTGAGGTGGGAGAATCTCTTGAACCTGGGAGGTGGAGGTTGCATTGAGCCAAGATCACTGAACTCCAGCCTGGGTGACAGAGACTGTCTCAAAAAAAAAAAAAAAAAAAAAAATTGATTTTGAGAGTTGTTTTTTTTTTTTTCCTTAGAAGGGACATCAGAAGAAACACCAATGTCTGCACTCCCAGCCCCCCAAGCACCTTTTGCAAAGAAAAGAAGTGAGGTTACTGGGTTTTATTTGAGTCCAGAGGAGAAGGCCTTGGCTCCCACCCAGGCCCCAGGGCCCTGAGGCTGGAGGAAGGAGGCAGGATGGCAGCACAGAGCAAGGTCTTCCTGCCCTCCTGGCTGCCTGCGGATGGGAGTGGAGACCCTCAGAGCAAGCCCCAGCTTCTTTCAGAGGAGGGTAGAGTCCAGGACTAGAGCTCTTCTCTTGTGGCTGACACCTTCTCTGAGCAGGCCCCCTGTGGTCCCCCACACAGCAATGACTCCAGAGCCCCTTGGCCTTGTTGGTGGGCTTCATAGATCTGGTCTTCTCCAAACTCCCCCAGGTAGTGCAAACATGTCCTGGAGAGCCTAGGGGAGCCCAGTGGGAGCCTCAGATGCTGCCCAGCCCACAGTGGGGCAAACCAAGGCTCCAGGAGCTTCATTCTATCCCCAAGCCCCGGGCATCACCTGGTAGGCCAGGGGCCTCCTGTGACCATCACGCTGATGCTTGGCTCTGGCCCCTTGCTAAGTCCTGGGCCTGTGAGACGTTTCACTTGGTCCACTTCTCGAACTCCATAGCTGGTGGCAGTGGAGAGGAGAGGAGTACAGCTTTGGCAGGAGCCCAGCCAGGGAGAGACCCTTCTCCACACCAAGCTGGACATGCTGGGTGTTTGCGGAATTCAGAGAGGGAAAGCCCTTGGCCCAAGGTCACAAGGTGACCTTGTCTGCTGGCCATCTGCTCTCCCACTTGCTCTCAGCTCCAGAGCCCAGACTTCATCCCAGCCAGCCCCTTCCTTGGACCAGGGTCCTAGTGGAGTGTGTGTCGTGTGAGCAGGTGAGTGGGAATCTCCACTCACCAGGCCTGCCCTTGGAGGAGGGAGGTGGGAGCAGGATTTTCAACTCACTCCTGCCAGTTCCGGGAGCAGCTCCGGTCCAGGACATCCGTGTAGACCGACTCGCTCAGCTCCCGCCGCCCCCCAGAGTTTGGGGTATGAAGTTTGGTCTCTGCTTTTGCCAGATTTTGCCACATCTGGAACAAGGAGGGACTGGGAGGCAGGGCCTCAGGACTCCTGCTCAGTTAGGGGGAGGTGGGGCGGATAGGAGCAGAGTCTCTGGGGAGAATAAGGCGGCAAGAGAGCTGTTTGAGCAGGAAGCACCTGTAAGGCTGCTGCACGGCCCCTCCCCCAGCCCCCAAAGCTCCCTGGGATGGGAGTGGGGGATGGGAAAGAAATGCTAAAGTGGTAGGTGAGGCCTGGGCACTGGGGTCCCTCCTCCAGGGCACACCTGCCCAGTGGCACGTGCCATTTTATTTTTATTTATTTATTTAGAGTCTCACACCCTCCGTCGCCCAGGCTGGAGTGCGGGGATGTGATCTCAGCTCAATGCAGCCTCCGCCTCTCAGGTTCAATCAACTCTCCTCCCTCAGCCTCCAGGTAGCTAGGACTACAGGGGCGCCACCACACCCAGCTAATTTTTTGTATTTTCGGTAGAGACAGGGTTTCACCATGTTGGCCAGGCTGGTCTCAAACCCCTGAGCTCAGGCGATCGGCCCCACTCAGCCTCCCAAAGTGCTGGGATTATAGGCACGACCCACTGCACCCGGCCGGCATATGCCATTTTAAACCACAAGAACAAGGTAAGAAAAACGAACAGCACAAGTACTCCCAGGCCCCCACCTCACAGAGACACTGGTGCGCAGGCATGCTCAGCAGATGTGTGTGTGAACCCAGACACACGCATACTCACGTGCAGGTGCTCACACGTGTGCAGGTGCTCACACGTGTGCACGTGCACCATGTACACATAGCCAAAGTCGCCCCGTCAGGTTTGGGGAGGGAGTCCAGAACCAAGGATGGGCCTGGAAAGGGAGAAGCCTAAGGACAACTGAGTGATTCCCTGGGGTCTCAAGATACGATAGAGGCCTCCCAGATTGTCTGCTCTCTGTTGGGCAGGCAGATGGGTAAACTGAGGCATGGAATATAATTAAAGACTGCATCTGTGGCTTGATGCCCAGTGGTAGGGATTGGGGATCAAAGGCTGGTGGTAGAATGTGAGGTGGATGGAGGGGTCTGGCTTGAGAAGGGGTTGTGAGTGAAGGACTCACCTGGTAAGCCACAGCTCTGCAGGCATCACAACGCAGGTGAGCGGGCATGTGGGCTGAGTACATCTCCTCATCGTCCAGTTGTGGGGCTGTGGCTGTGAGTGGGGCCCTGTCCCCGAGGCCCCCTGGGATGGCCCAGGCTCCCAGCAGCAGCAGCAGTGGCAGTGACAGCCTCATGGCCCCAGGAGCCAGTTCAGCAAGTGTAGGATGTGGCTGAGGTGCAGATGTGTGTGTGCTTGTGTGGTGTGGGGACTGCCGCAGAACAGCTGGCTTAGACCAATGAGGAACTGACACCTCACCCCTCCCATCCTCCTCCCACTTCCTCCTCCAGGGCCCTGAAGATGCCACGTGGGCATGTCCTCTAGCTGGACCCTGGCTCCAGCCATCTCAGCTCCATTTCACAGATAGGGAGCAATGAGGCAAGGAAAGGGGCTGGGCCTGGGCAGGAACACATAGGGGCCCATACCTCCCACATCCTGTGATCTGGCTAAGTGGTAGGCACTCTGCTGAGTACCTTGTGGGAACAGTTGGTTGGCTACCGTCATCTTTTTTCATTGACCTTTCTGAGAAATAAGACTGTCATGTTTATTCTGCCTTTTCCGACACAAAGGCTCAGAGAGAGGTGACAAATCCAAGGCCACATAGCTAGAGGGGCCATGCTGAGAAACCCAAGCCTGATTGACCCAAGGCCCCCTGGCCACTCAACCACCAGAAGGAATGAGGTGTGGCTGCCAGCCTCCTGGGAGGCAAATTCAGGGAGACAGGGATGCTACAGTGTTTCTAAGACACACATGGTCTCCTTCCCTAGCCCTGAGGTCCCCTCCACCCACGCCATATCCAGGCATGGAAGGACATTGTGGAGGGTGTTGAGAGGCCATGGCAGGAAATCAGGCACCTCACACCAGTTATTTCAGCCATCATGGCTCCATGGTCAGTGATTTATTACACACCAGGATGAGGTAAAGGCACCTGGGGTGGTCCCAGGGCCTCCATGCCATCGGAGCTGGTGTCTCCAGCCAGAAAATGGCCAGTTGTTCTGACTCATAGCTCTCCTAATCAATTTCCAGTCCAGGGCAGAGGGCAGGGACTGCTAGGGACCTGGGCCCCCTGACAGGCCTGGAACAACGAAGGCATCCATCCCCATCCTTGCCACTGCTTCTCATGGAAACTGTCCTTCGCAAACTCATCACATCACACACCAGGCTGGCAAGGGCCAGCCATTTCTGGTTCAGAACTATACACAGACCCCCACGCATACCACCTCCCACCTCATGCAGACCCCCCTCATCTCCCTCAGAGGCTCCTGGAATCTCAGGGCAACTGAAGTGCAGGCTCTGGGCCCTGTCCCTTGCTGTGACTGGTCTGTAGGGCCAGCCCCTCTCTGGGCCTTGTTGCCACATCTGTTACTGGGGAGTAGAATCTGCCAAGAGCTGCAGGTCCCTCTGGCTACTCCACCAGGGGTATCGCTTCTACTGCCAGCCCTAACCCACCTTCTAACCACACAGAGGGGTCAAGAGACTCCTGTGGGACAAGAGCCCAACCCTCCCTCTTCTCAGACCTTCCTGATGACCATTTCACCTACTCCCGATGTAGGGGGTCGGGGACAGAAGCCCCACCCCTGGCCCAAAAATGAGTCAGCTCAGCTCTGAGGGCCAGGCTCCCCATCTTCCCACCCCAAGTTCCAGGCTCACCCCTGAACCAGGCCCTCCCTGTATTCCTTGCTTTGCTTCCACCTGCTGTCCCCCTGCCTTAGCTCCCTTTCTCAGAGCCAGCCTGGCCTGGGGCTGTACTGGCCACTTTCCCCCCAGTAGCCTCCAAGGCCAAAGCTCAGCTCCTCTTCCTAAGAGCAGACTTGACAGCCAGTCCTTCCTGCCACCTCACCAGGGGCACTGGCCAGCCTCACCTCACCTGGGCCTGCTATCAGGAAAGGCAGACAGTTCCCCGCCCTGTCTCCTGCTGCTCCCGTTCCTGCTGCCACAGGGCAGCCCCAGCACCTCCTCTGATGGGCTCCTGGGGACAAGCCCAGGGATGCCTCACTTTCCCTATTTGCTTGCCCACATATACACATATACACACACCCACACACCACACCACACCATGCCCTGGGAATGCCTGGGAAAGGGATACATAATTTCGTTGGGAGAGGAAGTAGGCAGCCACTTCCTGGGTGGCTCCAGCTCCGCCAGCCTCGGGGCTCAGATTCATTCTCTGAAGATCACTTCCTGTCCGACGACTGGCTGGGATGGGTTAAAGACAGAGGCAGCGGAAAGAGAGGAGGGTAGGGGCTTGGATGCCAGAACCTCCCAGGCCATCCAAGGGCTCCAACTCCATGGGGATCTGCCCGGGGCCTCACAGTGGGAACAAGGAACCCTTGCCGGGCTGGGTGGGAACTGAGCTGGAGGGCGGCGCACAGAAGAGCAGAGGAGGTGCAGGGCTGGGGGTTCCGCTCACTGGCAGGTAGTAGGTCCCGTCCAGGGGCCCTGCCTCAGAGACCCAGGGTAGCTGGGGGTTGCCGAGAGCCTGTGGGCCTGGGGACGGTGGCAGGGAGAGGCTGGGTATAGGCCCATAGGCAGGCGGGTAGAGGCCGAGGCCCAGGGCCAGAGGGGTGTAGACGCGGTGGGGCGGCCCAGGGGACGAGGGCGGCAGCAGCACCTCCACGTACTGCCCACTCTCGGGGTCGAAGAGCACCCGCAGCCGAGGCTGACGCGGCGCCTCCACGAAGTAGTAGCGGCCGCTCTCGGGGTCCACCAAGACCTTCCCCCGGGGCGCGGCCCCGGGCGGCTTGCGCACTCCCTGGGAGGGGCTTTGCGGGGACCGGTCTGTGGGAGGCGCCGAGGCAGCACGGGGCTGGGCCGGGGCCGTCCTGCCCGCCGACGCCAGGGGCTCCCGCGGGAGTGGCGCCTGGACGGCAGCCGCGGGCTCGGGGGCTGTAGGAGGTGTCTTCGGTTTGGGTGCTATCCCAGGGCTCGGGCTGGCGTGCACCTGAGGGGAGCTGGGGCGGGGCGATCGGACCCCTGCTGGCCCTACGGGGGATCGCTGGGATGAGCTGCGGGCGCCGCCTAGAGGGCTGGTCCGACCCTTGCCGTCGGGGACAAGGCGCTGGGCCTCTGCATCCCTGTTCTTTCCTCCAGGGCCGCGCGCTCGCACTCCCGAGGTTACCTCGGGCCGGCGACCCAAGGCCAGGACCCCAGGCAGGCGGATCTCTGTGCGCTTGAAGGGCTTCGCCGTGCTGTTCTCTGCCCTCCGCCGCATGACCCCGTTGGGCTGTGAGGCGTCCTGGGGGACCGTGTCGAAGGACGGTTCTGGAGGCTCGTAGGGGTGCGGCACGACCGGTAGAAAATCCTTGATGAAAACGGAAGTGTAGTGAGTCGGGACCGGGGGCCCCAGTGCCGGCGGCTCTTGCGTCTTGGATTCGCTGCCCTCCTCCCCGCAGGGGTCGGCAGGAGGCGCAGGCAGCCTTGAGCCTGGGGCTCCTGCCGGGAAGCCTGGCGCGTACGTGGTCTTCACCAACTTGCGCACGTCTCGAGGCCGCGGAATGGCCACGCGCGGACGTCCTGAAGCCCCCTCTCCAGAACCCAAGACTTCCGGGCACTTATCGGCGTCCAGGGTGCCCACAAGGTGGCTGTCGGGTGCTGCCACCTCTGGGGACGGCTGACTCCCTCCAAAGGCAAGATCCGGAATCTCCCGCGTGGATGGACTCTGCATCTCTGCTGGTTCTGGAGTCCCGGGTGGGGACGGTGTAGGCGGTGCCAATTCCTCCTGAGTTAACCCATTCTGAGCTTCATGAGTAAATGCTATCGATGCGCCTGGCCCCATGGGGTCCCACGTCTCTTGGGGAGATGCGCCCCAAGTTCCAATAGGACGATCTGGAGCCTCCCACGGGAAGAAGGCCGGCGGGGACGGGCTGCTACCTGGCTCCACCGTATCCCCGACTGCCGAATGTGGAATCTCCCACTGGGAAGGGGCTTCGAAGGACGGGCTCCTTTCCCCAGCAACACACTGATTCCACTGGGAACGGATCGGAGGGGAAGGGCTTCTCCTGCTCACAGTTTCCTCGACGGCCAGATTCTGATTTTCCCACGCGGAGGAGGCTTCAGGGAACGATGGGCTACTCACCCTCCGACTAGTCCGATCCCACGGGGACAAGTTCTGGGGCAACGGGCAGCGAGGACCCCGTACAGCCCCGTTTGGAGCCTGCCACGGCGGGGACGGGCTTCTTGGCCTCACAGCCCTACTCGGAACCTCCGAGGGGACCCTACACTCAAAAGGCGGACTCCGTGCCCTCTGGACAGTTCGATGCGGCGCCTCTTGCGGGAATCGAGTCTTCCGCGCCTCCTGGATCTTCTCCTCTGACTGAAGGAAGATGCTGGAGCTAACAGGACCCAGCGGCTCCGTTCCGGGCGCAGGCTTGTCGCGCCGAATCGCGCGCTCGCGGAGGCTGGGCCACGGCCTCGGGGCTTTGGCGGGGGCCGAATTATCTTGTACGCGAAGTGGCTGAGACTTAGTCTTCTCCAGGACCACGCGGGTGCTGCGGGACGTTTCCCGGGTCGCAGGTTCCGACAGCCCCGTGGGCCTGAAGGTGGCGCTGCTCGCGGC